CTGGCAGTTCATGGGAGCAAACACGAGGGCCGTGATCCTGACGGAGGCCTGAAAACAGGCCAGAGATGAGGAAGAGGAGGAGGAGGAGGAGGAGGAGGAGGAGGAGGAGGAGGACGAGGACGAGGAGGAGGAGGAGGAAGAAGAGGAGGAGGAGGAGGACAAGGACGAAGACGAGGAGGAGGAGGAGGAAGAGGAGAAGGAGGAGGAGGAGGAGGAGGAGGGGAGAAGAGGAGAAGAGGTCTCTCTGGAAGACTGGAAGACTTCATTTAAGGTTTCAAATGTTTCCTTGTGTGTGTGCTGCATTATGTCAGCATGTGTGCTGGAGTGAAAATAAAGGAGATGGTAAGTAAAAGAAACACCAGAGGGTTAGGGTTAGACTGAAGAACACTGTTCATCTGTCATTTGTAAAGAGACACACGGGACAGATTCAGAAAGCATTCATGAGGTGAATTATTCAGTCCGTTTATACAGAGGCTCTGGTCTGACCTGTTGAACTACAGCTGTCTGCACTTTGAACCCAAACTTGTCGAAGCTTCACCTGGGAGAAATACCAGAGGCTACTCTTCCCTACAACCAAACACACTACAACCACGGTACAAATGAAGGATTTGGACGTGGGACTTGAACACCTGACCCACGGTTATGTACATATACTGTATATACAATGAGTCTAAGACAGGGGTCAGGCCAAGGAGCTCCAGAGTGATGGAGCAGGGACCACGCCTCCTGTGAGTGGATGATTTAAATTGTAGGAGAAGGAAAATGATATAAAATTCATGAAACATTTTTTTAATCAACTGAAAAGTTCACGCCCTCCCCCTGCACCTCCCCCGCAGCCTCTCTGCTGACTCTGTCTCTGATCAGAAGTTATCTGTTGCCTCCATTAGTCAAATGGCTTAGAATCTTAAACCGTGTCAATCAAATAAATGTGAAGAAAAAAAAAATCACAGCCTTTCATTTTTCATCAGTTTCTGTCCTCAGAGTCCAGACGCAGCTGTGAAATATTTGCCCCTCA